AAATACTTTTTCGCAAGTGTTGCAGAACTTTTTGGCCAACCTAAAAAAACATCGACTTTCTGTATCTTATTTCTATTCATTCTCCTTTTTTCCAAGTTTTACACAACACAAACACTCTATACTTCATCTGTAACTAAAAAATAATAAATAATACTGTCGCTGTAAAATTAATTTTTCCAGCCACAGTATTAAAAAAGAACTGATATATACTCTTTTCCCATAGATATGATCGAATAAAAAGATGAACAAGAATTTAAAAGATCTCGAAAATATCGCGGATTACATCTCAATTGACTGAATTGCATAAAATTTAATAATTTGTTCAAATATATTAATAAATAAAAACGAAAATAAAAAACAAACATCGTCTTTTGTTATATTTGACATCAACCCGGACCATTTTTAGTTAACAATGATAAACATTAGTGTCCAAATGACAGACACCATCAGCCGTCTTATAAGACTGCTGATCGGTAAATGGGAGATGCATGGTTCATATCCCGCTACTGGACATCAGTCTTTCGTACACATTACGCAGTATCAAGTCTGCTAGTCTGTTGTCTGTGTCGCTGACTTCGTCTCTACCTTCAAGTCGATTTTGTGGTGAACAGTTTAGTGTTCAGCGTTCTTAGACCTCAAAATTCTCGAAAACAGGTTTCCCGTAATTGATGATGATAGTAGTTAATATCCACTGTCATTTGAGAAATTTTTTTCTAACAACTCTTGACCATATCTTCTTTCGTACTTTCATCGATCATATTATTAAAAGAAACATAACGATCACTACATTGTTCCGTCAACAACTTTAGTTTTTCTGGTCGTCCTTCTATAAAATTCTCTACAGTGCGACCTCGAGCAAGATGTCTAATTTTGTAAAGACCATAATACAATAATTTAATGCGCGCACGTGAAATGCATCTCGAACCCAGCTTTCGCTTCTTGTTCTGCGAATTGTCCGAATTCAATAACGAGTAGAAAAACGTCAGGTTCCGGCACCCCTAAAAACGCTTCAAGTCAGAACTTATGGCTGAGGAAAAACCGTGTTCGGAATAACTTTTCCATGAGGCGACAGAAGGTCTCACACACTTTTAGTAGGGCTATCGATTGCACACAGTCAAACCTTCCCGACTTTAGCTCATGTAATACTGGGCGGACCTGTGTGGAAGTACCTTACAGGAAGAGGTATTATTAACAGAAAATTAACTTCCCGTATTACGATGAACATTATTTTCCGTTCTGTTCTAGGGATAATACGAGTTCTGCGGATAATACTCTTCTCGAAAGGAAACAATTCAGAGAGCACCAGCCCTTAAGGGAATTATAGATTTGGTTTATTCTCATTTTCTTTCATATTTCAGTCGTTCCTGTAATTTATTTTTATACTGGTAATCTCATTTTTCTTTTGATTATTGTCACCCACTTATTATTTAATAGAGAATAAATCAAAACCATATCTGTTTATCTTGATTATATACTTCGCAAAGAACTTCGCTACTTGAATCGTGATTAATTAGCATAAGATATTCAAGATAGTAAGAAGCTACTTCGAAAAACTGATATACATTTCTTTTCGTTGTACGTTAACTTTCGGTTTCGTGTTCAGAAAACGTTTCTGATTATGAAAATGTAGGCTTTTCATAATCAGAAACGTTTTCTGAACACATTTCTGAAATCGATTTTTCAGAGGATCTCCAGAAAACCAGTTTCTTGGTCAACAATTTTAGACGGCAATCTATCGTTTTTTTTCCATAGATAGATAGGTAGATAGTCCAAAGTGTGCTCTACAAAAGAAGATCTAAACAAAAGTTTGGCTTTGCTTGGTTCGGACGCTACGGACCTCATTCTCGAAGCCTTAGGACTTCTCTCTCAATCGGTTCAGGGCTGTCAGAAATGCACAAAAACATAGGTTATTGACCACGCTGGCTCTCGTGGCAATGTTGTTCTTCAGAACAAAATGCAAAAACTGAGTGAAAATCTGTGCTAGGTGAAATAATCGATTTTTGACTATTTTCATCAAAAATTACGAAATTCACAAGTCAGTCAAAATCCATCCAAACTATTTCAGAATATGAACTCTATTTTATCTGTTCAATCTGATTCTGTATTTAAGATCAATAAAAAATATTTAGCGTTGTCGATAACCTATGTTTTTGTGCATTTCTGACGGTCCTGAACCGAATGAGAGAGAAGTCCTAAGGCTTCGAGAACGAGGTCAGTAGCGTCCGAACAAAGCAAAACCAAACTTTTGTTTAGATCTTCTTTCATAGAGCACATTTTGGAGTATCTATCTATCTATCTATGGAAAAAGATCCATAGATTGCTATGTAAAATTGTTAACCGAGAAACGGGTTTTCTAAAAATCATTTGAAAAACCGATTTCAGAAATGTGTTCAAAAAACGTTTCTGATTATGAAAATGCAGACTAAACTGACAACCGCAAATCTTTATCTTTTAACGCCTTTGAGTCATTCAAAAAACAACTATCTGCCGTATGTTTTGAGATGGATAATAAGAGAAAACTATTTGTTTTTACTCACTTGATTGATCCATAACATCTGCTGTATTATCCATATTCAGTTCATATAATAAAGTTGATACTTCATTAGTTTGAATAATCGAATTTTCCCGTTGTGTTAATACGATATTTTTTTCAATTAAATTTTGATAATCTAAAGTCAAAAAAGAGAAATTTTTATATGTAGAATAAAAATACATTATATCGATTATATTTTTTTTCGTTTCTTACCTTTCAATCTTTGTGCACAATCATGACGTTGTATCTCTTCTAATGCATTTATTAAATAGGTGCAATCTTTTTCTGAAATTTTCAATGTTTGAAGTAATTTTTGAAATGCTGAAATCGACGTTGAAAGAGATTCTTTTTCTCTCAACTGACCTGGTATATCTTCTCCAAGTAGAAAATGTAACTTTTGACGATCTGTGTCGGATAATGATTCTTGAATTCTTATCAAAATACAACGAAATTTAAAAGCATCTGTTGACATATTGTTAAAGGTTGTTAAAACCTAAAATATGAATTTGATCAGATTTGGTTCTCCAGTTAATTAAGCCCTCCTCTCCCAGCTCTGAATAATGTTCGGATCAAGAGTGCTGAGAGTTTTGCGGGAAGCCCTAAAACATGCATGAGATACTGGCGCCACAATATCTCGAAAACGACTTTCACCTGAACACCATTTTGTAGATCCCAGATTTCCCGATAACGAAACAGCGCAGAGAGCCCGAGAAGGTCTTAAATTGAAGCTGACACATGTGGCTAGAGGTTAACAGAGCCCAGTTTTTGATATTTAGTATAGATTTGTGGTTAGAAACACATCCTTACCAAAGTTAATGACACTTTTGACGCTGACCATTAATCTGAAAAGTAAAATATCAAAAATCCAGCTCTATTAGCCTCTAGACACATGTACAAAATAAAAATCAGAAAAAAACTTTGATGTTTGTCAAGTAGAAGCTGATATGATCTTTTTGGTTTTAATATAGTTTAGAATGTATACAAATTTCTTTATTTCTTTTCTGATCTACCAGCACAATCTCATGTCCAGAATTTTGTTCTCGATTGAATGAAGTTATCAATCATCCTCTCTGCCAGAAAAAAAATAATAATCAGTTATGGTTAACTCTCAATACGATGCGATTCATATTGCGAAGACTATATGGACGATGTAAAATGTCTTTTATTTCATGAAATGAAACGGGTATTTCTGATCTTTTTTTGGCGGACATAATAGAAGACCATGGTCTTCTATTTGGCTTTC